GGTTAGGCACACTTTAGTCCTCAAGCTGACATCTTTGCTCTTCAACACTTTAAAAAGATCTTGTGCAGCAGATTTGCCTAATGCAATACGTCCTTTGATTTCTTGACTGCTGCTTAGTCTTCCTTAATTTTGTAGTAAGTAAATTTAGCTCCAGCATTTATGATCATTCTAAACATTGTTGCTCATCCCTACCCAAAGAAAACCAAACCTGTTGTCCATGAGTTGATTCTGACTCATGGCAATCCTAAAGGACAGAGTAGAACTGCTCCAAGGGTTTCCAAGTATGTAAATCTTTACATAAGCAGACTGCCACCTCTTTTACCTATAGAGCACCTGGTGGGTTGGAGCTGCTGATCATTTGGTTAATAACTGAGTGCTTTACCATGGCACCACCAAATTCATCCCTAAGTTCTTCCAAATGGTATACTTGCTTCAGTTAACACAGTATAAATTCAAATTTCAGAAAAAACAAACTAACTAATTTTTACTATTATATTTGTTCCCCATAGCAATGGAGAATGCCACTATGGTGAATGAGTTTCTTTTACTTGGACTGACCAGTATTCAGGAGTTGCAGTCTTTCTTCTTTGTGATTTTCTTCATCATTTACCTGATAAATTTGGTTGGAAATGGAGTTATATTAGTGATTGTTATTTTGGAGCCAAAACTCCACTCCCCAATGTATTTTTTTCTAGGAAATCTCTCTTGTTTGGACATTTGCTACTCTTCAGTGACACTGCCCAAAGTGCTTATAAACCTGCTCTCCACTCGGAAGGCCATATCCTTCCTAGGCTGCATTGCTCAACTCCATTTCTTCCATTTCCTGGGAAGCACAGAGGCCATCTTACTAGCTGTCATGGCCTTTGACCGATTTGTGGCCATCTGCTACCCACTCCGCTACATGGTCATCATGAATCCCCAGGCGTGTATTCTGCTAGCAGCTGTAGCCTGGTTTATCAGCTTCTTTTATGCTTTGATGCATTCAGTCATGACTGCACACCTGAACTTTTGCCGTTCTCAGAAAGTCAATCATTTCTTCTGTGATGTCAAGCCTCTCTTGGAACTGGCCTGCAACAACACATTACTTAACCAATGGCTTCTTTTCATTGTCACCGGAGGCATATCCATGGGAGCTTTCTTCCTTACTCTTCTCTCCTACTTTTACATTATTGGCTTCCTTCTCTTCAATCACCGGTCTTGCAGTGTGCTCCATAAGGCTCTGTCCACTTGTGCCTCACATTTCATGGTGGTATGTCTCTTCTATGGACCTGTGGGCTTCACATACATTCGTCCTGCCTCAGCCTCTTCCATGGCTCAGGACCGGATGGTGGCCATCATATACAGTGCAGTCACTCCAGTGCTGAATCCACTGATATACACCCTAAGGAACAAAGAAGTGATGCGGGCTCTTAAGAAAATCTTTAGGAGGAAGTTTTTGCTTGCAGACTGCCAGTAGCACCCAAGGACTGATGCCACTTATATTTGGTTTTCATTTAGACTTTTACCCCATATTCTGTAATAAATGAATATTCTACCTGATTTTCAGTTTTCTCTTTGGAAATTATGCCACTTGTACCTATGTTCTACACTGATTTGTGTATAATAATTCAGTTTTTATTCATCCATTCATTTACTTAAGAGATTGTTATGGACACACATGTTTATGTATCAGACAGTAGGTCTAGGAAACATAGAAGAAAAAAAACAAAGTTCACAATATCATCAAACTTAAAATTTAGTATAGTAGAGGGACACACAAAAAACAAATCCATGAGTACATGTGTTGGGGTAAGTACTACTGTCAGCTGCCATCCATTCAGTCCCAACTCATGACTATCCCATACACAACAGAACGGAATGGAATGTTACCTGGTCTGGCATCATCTTCATGATCACTGGTATACTCAAGTCCATTGTTGTGACCTCTGTGTATTTTGCAAGCTTTCCAATCTGTATCAGACAACTTATATATTTTCCAGCTCTATATCAGACAATATTCTGTTGTAATTCATGGGGTTTGGGATGGCTAATTTTAGGAAGGAGAGGAGATTGTTAGATCTTTCTTCCTAATATATCTTAGTCTGAAAGGTCCTCTGAGGCTTCTCCACCGCTGGTGACTCTGCTGGTAGTTGAAATGCTGCTGGCATAGCTTCCAGCATCATATCAACATTAACTCACTACAGTATGACAAACTGACAGATGGGTGGTAAAATTAAGTGCTATGGAGAACTAAAAGAAGGTAAGCAGGTAGAGAGGAATGAGGAAGGTCACTCGTTGGAACAGTGTTGTTAGAGAAGGCTAGTCTATATGCTATTTCAACTAAAGCCTGAAGGAAGTGAGGGATTGAACTCTGTAGACATCTAAGAACAACATTTTAAAGAAAGGCAACAAGAAAGGAAAATATACTAAAAGAGAAATGTAATTCTCATACTTGAGAAACAAGCAAGATAGCCAGTGTGACCATCATTTAATGGCAAATGAGGACTGATAGGAGTTGAAATCAGGGAGACAGTGATTGGCTATTTTATGTACAACCACTTTGAGACTTTGTATACATTTGGGAAGAAAAACAGTACACATCTGTTTTACTCATTTAGTGTTGCTATAACAGAAATACCACAAGTGGATGGCCTTAGGAAACAGAAACTTTTTCTCTCAGTTTAGGAGGCTAGAAATCTAAATTCAGAGTGCTGACTCCCGAGAAAGGTCCTTGTCTTCTGTTAACACCTATAAGTCCAGCATTCCTTGACTATCTCCATGTGTCTTAGCATCAATATTGCCCTGGATCTAGGTGTTTAACATTAACAGTACAGGGACTTCAGGTCCAAAGGAAGCATTCCACTCCTGGCTCTTCTTTCTTGGTGGTAGTAGGTCCCTCTGACCTCTGCTAACTTCTCTCTCCTTTTATCTCTTGTAAGTAAAAGATGTTGCAGGCCACATCCCAGAGTTCAGGTGTGGTGCTGTGGGTTAATGAGCTGGACTGCAAAGTCAGTTTGAACCGCAAGGTCAGCAGTTCAAGCTCACCAGATGCTCGTTGAAAACACTATACAGGTTCACTATGGACGGGAACTGACTCGACAACACTTAACAACAAGTTTATTTCCCAGGGAAACTCCCTTTGCATTAAAGCAGGGTGTGATGGGATCACGGATGTTACATCCCACCCTTAATCATCTTACTAATTTATTGCATCAGGTCCTATCATAGGTGAGCATCATATGACTACTATGTTACATCATTACAAAACTGCCATATTGAGAACCATGGTTCAGCCAAGTGGACACATATTTTAGGGAGACACAATTCAATCCATGACAACATTTATAGTTTTGTCTCAGGGCTATATAAATTCTTTGGCTTCTGTCACAAAGTAAAACAAAGGGGCCTTGGCCATCTGGAAATAGTGCAGAAGGTATCACTGGTTCACAATATTGGTAGCATCATGTTAATTGGATCAGTTTAGCAAGAATTGATGGGATACAAATTGAAATGAAAAATTTCCACAAACTGATGCAGCACTGGAGGCACTCTATCATCTATGCCAAGAAATTTGGAAGACAGCTATCTGACCAACAATTGGAAGGGTTCTATATTCGTGCCCATTCCATGAAATGTGGAAATCATTGAACAATATCATTAATATCACTTGCAAATAAAATTTTACTAAAGATAATTTTAAAAATGGTTGCAACAGACAGAGAACTTCCTGAAATTCAAGCTATATTCAGACAAGAACATGGAACAAGGGATATCAAGGGATATCATTGCTAATATCAGATGGACCTTGGCTTTAAATACCAGGAAGATGTTTACTTGTGTTTTATTGACTGTGTGTATCATGGCAAGCCCTGGGTAACATTGTGAAGAATGGGTATTCCAGCACACTTCATTGTGCTCATGCTTTTGTTATTGGGTCATCAAGTCAGTTCTGATTCATCGTGAGCTTATGCACAACTGAACGAAATACTGCCTAGTCCTGCGCCATCTCACAATCGTTGTTAAACTTGAGCTCACTGCTGTTGCTACTGTGCCAATCCATCTCATTGGAGGTCTTCCTCCTTTTTGTTGACCTTCCACTTTTCCTAGCATGATGCACTTCTCCAGGGACTGGTCCCTCTTGATAATATGCCCAAAATATGAGAGATGAAGTTTTGCCATCCTGGCTTCTAAGGAGCATTCTGACTGCACTTCTTCCAATATAGATTTGATTGTTGTTCTAGCAGTCCATGGTACTTTTAATATTCTCCTCCAACACCATAGCTCAAATGCATCAGTTCTTCTACAGTCTTCCTTATTCGCTGTCCTACTTTCATATGTATATGAAGCTACTGAAAATACTATGGCTTGGCTCAGGCACACCTTAGTCCTGAGACTGACATCCTTGCTCTTGAACAGTTTAAAGAGGTCTTCTGGGACAGATTTGCTTAGTGTGATGTGTTGTTTGATTTTCTGACTGCTGCTTCCATGATTGTTGGTACTGCATGCAAACAAAATAAACTCTGTGACAACTTCAGTCCTTTCTCCATTTATCTTGATGTTATTTATTGGCTTAATGGTGAGGATTTATGTTTTCTTTATATTGAGGTGTAACCCATACTGAAGGTTGTTATCTTTGGTCTTCACCATTAACTATTTTAAGACCTCTTCACTTTCAGCAAGCAAGGTTGTATCATCTGCATATCGCAGTTTGTTAATGATCTAAGAAGGTTGATTATATGAAGAAGAATGTGGCATTAGGATTGGAGTAAGACTCTTTAACAACCTGTGGTATGCAGATGACACAACCTTGTGCTGATAAGGAACTTATGTATAGAGCAAAAGACAGTCATTCAAATAGAAACAGAGTATACTGAGTGGTTTAAAATCAGGAACGGTGCATGCCATGGTTGTATTCTTTCACCAAACTTTTTCAATCTGCATGCTGAAAAAATAATCTGAGGAAGAACAGAGCATTAATATTGAGGAAGACTCATTAATAACCTGCAATATGCAGATGATACAACCTTGCTTGCTGGAAGCAAAGATGACTTAAAATTTCTTATTGATGAAGATGTACAACCACAACCTTCAGTACTGGTTGCACCTCAGTATAAAGGAAGCAAAAATCTTTACAACTGGAATGGTAAATAACATGATAAATAGAGAAAAGATTGAAGTTGTCAAAAACTTCATTTTGCTTGGATCCACAATCAACACTCATGAAAGCAGTAGCCAAAAAAAAAATCAAATGGTATGTTGCATTATGCAAATATGTCACACAGACTTCTTTAAAGTGTTCAAGAGCAAAGATGTCAGTTTAAAGACTCTGATTGAGGACTCAGGTGCAACAAACATATTTTCAAAGCCTCATATCCGTGTGATAGTTGGGCACTTAATAAGGAATAGATGCAATTGAGTTGTGTTGTTGAGGAAGAATATTGCAAGTACCATGTATGCCAGAAGAACAAGCAAATCTGTATTGGAAGTACAGCCAGATTGTTCCTTGGAAGCCAGAATGGTAAGACTTCGTCTCTCATATTTTAGACATGTCTTCAGATGGGACCAGTCCTTGGAAAAGAACATTATGCTTTGTAAAGTGGAGGGTCAGTGAAAAAGAGAAAGACACCCACTAAATGAATTACTGGCACAGTGGCAGTAGTAATGGGTTTAAGTGTAACAACAATTGTGAGAATGGCACAGTGTTTTGTTTGTTGTGGATAGAGTCACTATGAGTTGGACTGACTAGATGGCACCTAACAACAAGTGGCAGGATGCTCTGGTAAGAAGTATGTGTTCCAAAGACTGGATGATAAATTCTCAAAGATTCATAGACTTTCTGAATTGGTAAAATTTTTAGAGAGGTTCAGTGGTCTGATACATGCTTATATCATTTCAATGAAAATAACATCTTACTGACTCTTGCTCTTCTTGTTACTAAGTAAGATGCAGGGAGTTTGGCAGGCGTTTTCTGAGTTTTGAAGTCAACATTAAATCAAATTTGGGGATACTTCTCTGACCTGTTTATTAGGTCCTTAGGAAACTGAGTGGACATCAGAATTATAGATTTTTAGCAAATCCAAGTTCTGGCATACTTAGTCCTGTTTTTAGAGCCATATAATCTAGGCTAGCTCAGAAAGGAGTCCTGGTGTGGGACTACTAAATTGGTGGTTCGAACCCATTAGCCGCTCCTTGGAAATCCTATATAGGGACACTATAAGTCAGGAACTGACTCAATGGCACTTATCAACAACAATCTCATAATGCTAGTTGTATCTGGAAAACCCTAATGAAGAGTTGGAGCATAGACCCTTAGGGGTTTGGAGCAAAGTTAGGTAGTTATGTTGTTGTTAAATGCTGTCGAGTAGCTTCCAACTCACAGTGACCCTGTATAGGGTTTCCGAAGAGTAGCTGGTGAGCTTGAACTGCTGACCTCGTGGTTCAAACCAACCTTGCAGTCCAGAGCATTAACCCACAGTG